TTGTTTACCAAACTGAATGTGGTCATTCAATGGATTTGCTTATCAAACTCAATGTGGTTCCAGGGTATAAAACCCCTTCCTGCTTCCTGGGCCGCTGCCTTTTGGTCCTCTCCTGCGTGAGAGCAGACTGGGGGGCCCTGAGCTCAGTAATAAACGGCTTTCCAAATTCCAACCTGGCTGATCTGGTTCCTATTCTGAGTGACCCATAACACTTGAGACTGGGTGTGGTGGCGCACGCCTGTAAACGCAGCACTTGGGAGGCTGAAAACAGGAAGATCACAATGAGTCCAATCTATATAGTGAGACTCTGTAAACCCTGTGTTAAACACATAAAAAACATATTAAATCTTTGTTAAAAATTGTTGCAGATCATTTTTTCACATTCCAGAAAATTTTTTCACATTTTGTACTGTTTTGTTTGATAGACAGAAGTCTCATTCAATATACAAACACAATTGGTATATTTTTGTTCTTGATGTCTATGCCTTTGGGTTCTTCTTTGTCCAAAAGTTCACTGCTTATGTTGATGTCTTTAAATGTTTCTTCTGAGTTTTGTGCTACCTGTTTTATGTTCTACATGTAAATCTTTGATCCATTTTGAATAGGTTATTGTAAATGGTGAGAGACAGCACTGTCACATGTACCTGCTCACTTTATAATTTTAGTAATTAAGAAGGATAAATCTCACAATCATATACCTTTTTATTGTGTAAGTTCTGAATGCTTCCTCTTTATTACAAAAAAAGATAAAATGAAAAGGAGTGAACAAAAAATGAATTAGAGTAAAATAAATAGGGCTACAAGGCTGAACAAACATACTAGTGCTCTAAGAGAATGTCTATGCTTTTTGAAAATAAAGCCCACAACATGATCACATTTCTTTCTCAATTCAGTTTTTCAAATACTACCTTACAGCATGTTTCTTTTATAATACTATTTGCTTTCTTCTTTATTGTTAAATGTTTCGCTTTACATGAAACCACAGATTGTGTATGTGTGTGTGTGTGTGTGTGTGTGTGTGTGTGTGTATCCTTGTGTACTTTAACATCGGCCACTTGGTAAGTCACAGTAAAACTTTTCACAGCACTAAAAATATGAGCAAAAATAGAGCGCTTTTTAAATAAAAAAAAATCTAATAAACTTCACTTTTTCTAATTGATTTTCCAGGTTACCAAAAGACCAAAAAGCTACAGTTCTCAGGAAAGGCCTCTTTTGGTTCCTCTTTTTCTTTCATGGATTTCAGTACATATGCACCTGATTTTCCAGGTTACCAAAAGACCACATTCAATCTTGCTATGAAATACTCTAAACATCTTGTGTTTATGAAATTAGCACTCTGACAGGACAGTGATTCTCTCAGCAGCTAACTTACATGGGCTGCATCTCACAGGGGAAGTGTGTGCCGTCTTCAGGATTCCACTTGCTTCAGATCTCAGCAGCACCTTCAGTCCTCGTCCACTGACCAAACATTTAGGGATCCCCATCTTAAATAGAGAACCCTAAATGATACTTTACATTATTGTATGAGTTCAGATTTTATTATACTTGCGATCATAATGTTCTTTTTTTTTTTCTCCTAATGCCGCTGAACTGTCTCCCCAGCCTTGATTATAGTGCTCTTTTAACAAAAAGATGCATTTCAGAGATTAAGGGAGAGACAGATAGGTGAATCTAGAAGGGTCCCAAATGTGAAACTTTCACTGACTTAATGAATATCACTTTCCCAGAATTTAATGTGTGAATATATTCTGATAACTGAAAACTGAGAAATCTCCTGAGTATGGTGTGCAGAGATTGTACTGGAGTTCATTGCATAGGAATCATTAAAAGAGCTGTTGCGGATAAGGTTGGACTCAATGTGCAGCGTTCCCTCCCGGTCTGTCCCAGAGTCATGTCTTAAGGCCTCATGACTCTACTCATATGATTATTTTTTCTGACTCCAACCTGAATCATCTTGTTAGCATTAATTATTCAGGGGCCCCCACGAGGTAGGATTCATCATGAATACAAAGTCATCCCAATTAATCACAAACTCCAAAGAATAGAGGCTACCTTCTAGGAAATGAGACACAGACCAGAGAAGTTCTCTCTTACAGTTGAGTGACAGCCTGATGTCTCAAGCAGAGAGTAAGTCGAGAAGTAAAGGTGCACGATGGGCCTCTCACAAGCATTGGCTCCTCGATCCTCATGGCCCTGCACCACTCAGTGCAGCCAGAACTGAGTCCCTGTGATATAAATAAAAACAATTTTTCATAAGCCATAAGTAACTATAAACAACAGTTCTAAAATTTTATCTTTGTCCCTGGTGGTTCACCTTTTATATCACTTAGTGTATTTGTGCTACATATTTATTGTCACTACCCAAGAGACCTCATGACTAAATAATTCAGCACTCAGAAGTGCATTGTAGTGTTGTTACCAAGTACCTAGACTATCCTCAATACTGCATCACTAGGCATGCAGAGAGCTATTCTAGGGCCCTGGCTACAGAATCAGAGAACCCTTGGAGAGGAGGCCAGCTGGGTTACAGTCTGCCCACACTGACCCTGAGCCCATGTGTAATGTTAATGAAAGGGGAAAATGTCACTGTAAGCCATTTTGTTTGATCAATTTTTTTCCTGACACAGTAAAATTCATTTCTAATGTGAGTTATTGCAGGAGGAAAGAATGAGAGAGGGTGACTTTAAACATACTTTTTACTTTGTAGCTACTCAAACTGCTCAAGAATCATAAGAAGTTTGAACCTGAGTCTTTAGATTCTGTTTTAATATTAAACAAAATGAAAATAGATGTAGGTGTCAGTGCTTTTATGGTACACATGAGTTTCTAGGTTCATGTCTCAGTAGTGCAAAAAAGTTTTGCTTTTTAATTTAAGGAGCTTCCTGCACACATGTCCACAAGAAAGTATATGTTGGGAATCTGGCGAGATAGCTTAGTGGTCTAAAGTGCCTGCTTAGGCAAGCTTAGACAAGTGTGCAAAGACCGCAGTTCAAACTGTGGCACCACATGCCACCCCAGACTCACCCCCAGGGTGGGATGAGCCAGCCAAAAAAAAAAAAAAAAGAAAGTATTTGTTGTGTCCACAAATTAATTGCAATTTTCTCATCATTCTTTTATTCCTTGTCATGTTCCTTTTGCTTTCATTACAAAATAACTATTGTGCTATAAAAATTTATATCTCTGGCCTTTTGTAGGAAAATAAATATTTCTTGAAACTATGACATTAAGTGAAATATTACATGGTTTCTCTTATATGATAAATCAGAAATATAAATGGATTTAAGGTAAAATAACAGACAGATAATAGGAAATAGGGAGATCTCTTGGAAATTGGAAAGTAGCTAAAAGCATGAGGTGATGTAAAAATAATTAAGATGTGTTATGTCCATGTACCAACTCCTCATAATGAGTACAATCATATCAGTTCTAAATAAGGCATTAGATTGGAAAGGGTAAGGCAAATGTCTGTAGTGGGGTGAGGGGCAGCAATGGTTTGACACAATGTGCAAGAACTAGGGAAACCATGGGAGCAGGGTGGCCATGCAGATGGTTGGCAGGATGGTGGGTTCAGAGCCTGAAAGAAAGGAAAGTGTGACTGTGGTAGAGGAAAGAGTTCTGGCACTGAGAGCCACAGCACGCTGTATGTGTGTGCACACGGTCCAAGCTCTGAAGGATGTGAGAATTAGGAAGTGTGTCCACAAAAAGCAGCGTGGTGCAGGAAGGCAGATTCTCAAGGTGAACAAATCTTCCATGTGGTGGGGGGACAGCCCAGGGAGTCTGGGATCAAGCAGACTTTGGAGCTTAAAGAGGGTGTGAATGCACAAGGTTGGTATTTGTGTGGGGTCGGAGTCCAAAATGAGTTAAGAGAGAGATCTCACAGAACTAAACAGGCAAATGAAATATAGATAATTAAAATGGATTTCTTACCGTCACAAAAGTTAGAAGTGTGAAAATTGAGAGAACTAAGATGAAACCTATGGCACTGAACTGAAGTTAGAGGTCTTTGTGCGAACTCATGGATTTCAGTACATATGCACATAGAAATCAATATAGAAATAAGTGTGTGTGTGTGTGTGTGTGTGTGTGTGTGTGTGTGTGTAATATGCTGGAATGAGTTAGAAAGGAGAAATTAAAGAGGGGAACTATTTGAGAGTGAGTAGAGTGAGGAGAAATGGCATGTTGGGAACAGGTCTATGAAAATGTCCTGCAGGAAAAATTTAAGTTTTGGAGTGTTCATCTCTTTGCCTGTGGCAAAAACATCATATTTAGCATTCCCTTATGTCTGTCCAAGTGATTCAATTTAATTATCATGTGAAAAATAAGTCACATGCAGTTATGCACTGAAGTGGCATTGGGTGGAAGGGACAGAGCACTGTGGGATGAAAAATGTCCTTGTCCTTCAATGTCCAACAGAGGGAGCTGCTTTCAGGAGGGCTGCAGGAGGAAAGGCAGTGCCTGAGGGAATTAACTACTAGCAACAGTAGAAAGCAGGGAGCATAGTAGAGTTCAGACAATGCTGAATTTGCACTGTGCCTTCTCCATCAAGTTAAGGGGAGCTGACTCCTACAAGAAGGGAAGTGGACATCTCAGTTTGTGTCAACGCCGCTCATGGAATGAGCTGCCTAGTGGGTGCCTGAGACCAGCTACCAATAAAGTGAATGAAGTGTGCCGAAGTGTTTGGTCAGGGTGGGTGATTTGTAAACAACAACATTTGTACACAGAAGCACAAGTACATTTTCCAATTCCTTAATTTTGTCCATTATTTTAATTTTTGTTAGACCTATTTGTAGGATATGGGGATTGTATTCCTTACATAATTCATATGAACTCTTTTTTAATCAGGTTTCCCTCCCCTCTCTTCATTGTGTTTGGAAGCTACAGTTCTCAGGAAAGGCCTCTTTTGGTTCCTCTTTTTCTTTCTTCCTCTTGTCACGTGAATGGTCATTTCTGTAATATTTGCAAGCTTCACTGCATATGTTTAAAGGCTACAGTTGTTATGGACTTGTCCAGGGCAGTGGACCTTCGTCTGCTCACTCAGTGGTTCTACGTTGCGGGTTTCTCATGAGAAACCTCTGCCAGGGACTGGGCTGTTCTCATCTTGTTGAGTGATTGGAGAATTTACTACATGTTTGGTTTTCACTTATGAGCTGTTTTAAGAAAAGGATAAATTTTTTTGGAGAAAGCAGAAGGCCTTTTCTCAACATGGCTGCTGAAATCACTTATGCTGAACTGAGGTTCAAAGCTGAATCCTCAAGCCCCAACTCAGGGTCTCCTGCAGGTAAAAACATACATTTTTTTGGTTTCTCTCACAGTTAGTGATGAGGTGATGGGTGGGCGTGGGGTCTGTGAGCCCGGTAGGTGAGGTAGTTGCTGTTTCTCTGGCCTGATGCATCTGGGAAACAGACCACTACAGATTGTGCTGTCTGTGGATGAGGGCTAAGCAGCCAGGGAGCTGTAGAGCAGGAGAGAAAAAGATTCCTGTTTTGCTGCCCTTCTGCAATTTATTTGTCTCTCTGATATGGGCTGTCATGTCATGTGGTACCAGGGATTGAATTTGGATCTTTGTGCTTGCCAGGCAGGTCCTTAGAATGCTAAGCTATCTCTCCAGCCCCAGACATTTTTTGCTAAAAATGAAATCATAGCATGTAATACTGAAGATTTTTCTTCTCTACTTAACAATGTATAATATATTAAGAAATGATTTCTATTTGTTTGACACTTATCTCTCTCAGTGCTGGGAGGGGGACTGAATTCAGGGCCTCTTCTGAGCCAGATCAGCTCCCTCCCCTGAGATATGGCCCTCAGAAGAGAAATTGGGGTGCAATGATAAGGTGGGGACCACAAACATTACTTTATACAATAATGTGAACTATGATTACCGATGTTTGCTGTAACACACAAAGCTGTAAAGTAGACATAATCTTGCATATAGTTAAAGATGCAATGAAATATGCAAAGTTAACAAAATGTAATAAGATTGTATGGTAATGTGAAAAATGGTCACAATGGAAGTATAAAAGAAGTAGTAGGTCAGAAACCAATGTATACATTTTGTTAATTCTGAAGGCAAATGTGTGTACGTGTATATGCAGTTTTAAAATACTGACTATATATACAAGAGTATTAGAATTTTTTTCAGTGGAAAAGTTTCTTACTTTTATGTATTTTGTGAGATTTCAGTGAAAACTTCATTGTTTCTTTTTCTATTCCAATTTTATATATTTTTTCTATTTCAATATAGAATTTAAATTCTATATTGTTAGTAATTGCGTGTTATACAAGAAAAAGGGGAAGAGGAAATAAGAACAGAATGTATTACTGATGAAACTAATCTGGTTTCTCCTCAGCTGCCAAAGAGAAGACCACTCCTCAGAGAAGTAATCTTTGTCTTCTCAAGATGCTTCTTGTCCCCTTATTGATATTCCTCCTTTTGGCCATCGTATTCTGTATTGCTTTTATCAGTAAGTCTGTCAGCTGAACCAACAAGCCCTAAAGAAGAGAAAGTGTCTACTAGAAATTCACAGTAAAAAGGGTGTTATCTAGATATCTGAAAAGAAAATTTACTTGACAGAGATAAAGTTCAGGGAAATTCACTGGGGATTTTGCTCTTTTTTCCCACCGGATTTCTGTGTGAGAACACATCTGTGTTTCCTTAGTCGCATTTAAAAAGTGAGAACTGTTTTGAGTGGATACACACTTGTCTTTTTGGATGATCAGATGGACAAAAAAGGGAAGAAATATTCCAGAAAGATTTATGAAAGAAATATCTTTCTAATTATTTGTCAGGCCCAAGAATGTAATGTTCTAAACCCCAATTTAATCAATGCATGCATTTCCTCACAGAAATATTCCCTGACTAGGCCCAACAGGGTGTGTTCATCTGGCACCATGCAGCCTTCCAAGGCTGAGTTGGCACACCAAGGAGTCTTGAAATCTCAACTCAGATCTCGTACAGAGCTGCTTCTGCACATCCTATTGGTCACAGGAAGAATTAAATACAGCAAAATTTGTGAAATAAATATCCTTAAAATTATTTCTGTCATGCATAAGTAACTTCTAAGATAGTGTTATTGAAAAAGCAGATGAAGAGGGTTGCTTTAAATGATAAAGGAGATGGCATGAAACCATAGTGTCTTGATGAATATTTAAGTATTAAAGAACCTAGGGATGTTATATGACTCTGATATTCAGACTTGGTGAACTCAGCAGTGATGAAGCTGTTAAAAAACATAGGCCACGTAAGACAAGCAGTGAGTTGGGGCTGGAAGATGACTTAGGGCTTGGACTGGTTGCACTGCACTTGAGATGCACCTACCAGGAGATTTCAATGGAGAGGTCTGGTTTTGGAAACCACTGACACACAGGCAGCTGGTAACACAGTGGAAATATGTGGCATCATTCAAGATTTAGCACAAAAAGATGAAAGATAGTAGTGGAACTCCAGGGAATGCTCCATTTTAATAGTGACAAATAGAAGGCAGAGCTTCTGAAAGAGTTCACAAAGCAGCATGAGAAAGGTAGGGCAAAAGCATTGAAGAGCAGTGTGCTCAGGGTTAGGTAGGAGGACAGAATTGTTCTCTGGTAGCACAAAGCATGCCACAGACTGATGACAATGCACAGTTCTGAAATGTTATCAAAGATGTGTCTCAAACAACATTTTAGTGAACAGTGGAAGCAAAAGAGGAGTACCAGTCTAGGTGACTGAGGAGTAAGAGTCAGGTCACATGGAGAGAGTTCTAGGACAGAACAGGAAAAGAACAATGTCCCTTGTCAATGTTGATTATTTTTAAAATTTTCAGTTCACTAAGGTAACCAAGAATGGTTCACATTTAGCTAATTTTTTATTTCTGAGGTCTCAGTCTTTGAATTCTTCAATATAAGTATTTTTCTGCCTATAACAGCTTACCCTCAGATGTACCTTCAGATGCGTTTCACATTAAGAATTGAAATAAAATATGGCAAGTCCCTTTAGGCCTGGTAAGATGGAAATTCCATGTCCTATTTCAACTCCTGATCTTTCAGGTCTTTCCAGAAATTTCTAGGGTTTCACCATCAGTAGAATTAGGACTATATTGACTCTAGGAAGATGGGAAAACTTTTCCAGTTAGAGCATGTCTGCTTCAGTCATTGAGCATTTCTACATTAAGTTTCTATAAAGAGTGCAAGAAAAGAACAGTGGAGAATACAGTCATATTGCTACCAGGAAATTGAATGGTTTTTATTGTATCTTCTAGTATTCTTTCAAAAATATTCTCAGCTTCTTGAAGTAAAGAAGGCTATCAAAGAAAGTACACATAAGCATAAAGAACTGGAGTGTAAAAGAAGCAATTCATCTAAGAAAGGTAAAATTTCCTCTCCTTAGAATTCAGTTGTTGAAAAGAGTAAGGATCTCCGAAATCAGTATTTCTAATAAGATTTCCAGATAGATAATATTGAGAATGTAGTCACATGATCATTATAAGCTACAAATGTACAATTCCATGAGACCTGAAGTTCTTTCATGTGTACATTAACTTGTGCAAGACTTGATTGTGTAAAAGTTTATTGTAGGGCCGGGGAGATGACTCAGTGGAATAAGCGCTTCCCTGGCAAGCACAAGGGCCTGAGTTCAATTCCAGGTTCCACGAAAAAAAAAAAAAAAAAAAAAAAAAGTTTATTGTAGTTTTGGATTTCTTCAGCTTTTGTTTCATTCTGAGCTTTTTATGGACACTGTTGGTTTTCACATCCTAGCTAGAAACGTTTCAGAAAGATAATGACTCACTTATTAAAATATTCATTATTTCCATTAAAATTATATTTAAATAGCATTTTATATTTATAAAGCATTGAATGTTGACATAAAACATTCCAATTTTAACCCCACTGTGTGCAAGAGTATTTTGTATTATTAGAATCATGCATTTGTTGCTCTAGTGAGCACATATTGATGCATTATCATTAATTGTAGTTCATGTTTGTGTGTGTGTGTGTGTGTGTGCGTGTGCACACCAGAACACCCTAGAGAGAAATATCCAGATTGTTTGACCAAGATCACATGTGAATGTAGGCATCAATGTTCATGTAACTTATTTGAAATGATTGCATGTGCTTGGGTTTTCTCCTCTATATGAGTTACTTATTCCTTTAATGGTTTATATCTTTGGTTATTTGTTTTATATTTTGGACGGTAATCTGTCATCACTTCATTTGCTGTTTTTCTGGTTCTGTTAATCGGCAGCTCCTTCACTTGCATCCTGTGTTGCACTTTGCTTGTTACTTGTGGTGCTACAAACTCCTCTAGATTCACTGCACTTTGCCTGTGCCAGCCCTCCAGTCGAGTATTTCCAATCAAATAATTGACTTTTTTTGAATTAAAGAGGAGTATCCTACACCTTTTGATAAGTTTTATGTCCATTTTCATTCAGTTAAATGTATTTTTAAAATTTTGTCTGGCACTTTTTGACCCACGGGTTGCTTAAAATTGTGTCGTTTAGTTTCAAGTATGTGGAGATTTTCCTGTCTTCCTTCTTGTATTCATTCCAGATTTCCTTCAATTATGTTTCCTTCTAGGTTGAAGAATGTTTTCTATATCACTGTAATGATTTGAAATGTGTTATGGTTTGTTTGCTTGCTTTTGTTATTGTCATCAATATGTGGTCTTAGAACACATTCCCTGGGCATTGATGAAAATGGCTATTCTGTAACTGAGTGTTCTGAAAATGTTGAATTTTCTATTGGTTGATGATTTTATTGAACTCCTAAGTGTTCTTGCTGATTTTCTGTATGGTTTTCTCCACTTGTATTAATGTGGTTTTAGACTCTCCTTTCACTTATATCAATTTTTAGTTAACATAGTTCTCATCCCTGTGTTTGGCACATAAACATTTGATGTTATGACATAGGACTTTTCTAGCTCTTGGCTCTGTTGTTCAATAGGTGATTTCTACCATTGTTTTGTCAAACAATACTATTTCTACTATTGTTTTCTCAGTTTCCTGATTAATTGCCACCAGTGTGAAGCAACTCTTGGGTCTATTCATTGAAAGTTTAATATTTTTACTATCTTGATTAATAACACTTATTAATTTTGAGAACTTCCTGGTTCTTGGTATAACTATTTTTTCATTCCAGCCAAGAAATTTTTGTATTATGTTCCAAGTCCTAGTTTATTTAAGTGTTATGTTTTCTTTGGCTTTCTCTGATACTACTCCTGCAAGGAAAAGAACCTTGAGCCATTGCTGCCTATAGAGGTAGACTCAACTTCTCACACACCTCAGGGCTGCTTTTATGTTGAGGGATGACTTATGTTGGCATTTTTAGGGTTTTTAATATTTCCAATAATCTATATTTCTCAAATGGTTTTCTTATATTGCACATTTATCTGCTTCCCAATAAAGACAAAGTCTGGAGCTGTTGCCCAAAGAACTGGATGCGATTTGGTTCTCACTGCTACTTCTGTCCAACTGAAGCTAAACCATGGAGTGAGAGTGAGGAGCGCTGCTCTCACATGGGGGCTCATCTGGTGGTAATCACCAGCAAGGAGGAGCAGGTACTGTCTGGGAGATCTGGGAGCTGCGGGCCCCACTGCTGAAGGCCTCTGCCTGCTGCCAAAGAGGAGACTTAGTGTTTTAAGCACATAACAGTTTACCCCAAGCATGACTAGTTCTCATCTCAATCAGTTGATTCTTGTATAAATTTGATAAGATTGTCATTTTTATATTTCTTGTTATCTCTTAAAATTAATCAAAACAGCATTTTTTATCATCCTTTGTTTTAAAATTGGACAGGTAAGTGGTTAAAATATGAGACTGTGGCAGAAAAGTTTCAAGAAGAGACATGTGACAGGCCCCTAAGCATGCACATTTTAGGCCTTTTTTCTATTTCTGTAAAACTAAGGAACACAATTGAAATAGTGGATTTAAAAAGATTTCTAAAGGGAATTAAGTGGAAGGATGAAGACACAGAGTCTCCCAAACACATGCACACACTTTAGGAAGAGAAAAATGTATGTAAATATTTTAATACTAAACTTATCAAGACATGAGATTAATATGTTACTTCTGGTCTCTACAATTATAAGAGGTGCTAAAAGTGGTGGCCAGGGGCATCCAGACACTGAGTGGTACAGTGAACTGCAGTCTGGAGGACCTCGACCATTGAGATAGCTCCACTTGCATTTTAATTTCTTCTCTAAAGGTCAGCACTGTAGTGGGTTTTCGGGGACATACAACATCTGCTAGGGTCCCCCATACCAGAGTGACATCATCAGTTGGAAAAATATATATATTTTGGCAGACTCTGTATTTCTTCCTGAAATATCAGTTTGTTAATTCAGTATGTATACTGTATGAACTGCTTAACAGAGAAGAACACAAAGTTTAATAGGGAAATCAAATTAAATCATCAACCATAATATAAAGTATATCTCTTATGTTGTAGTTGAAGATAAATGATTAAATCTGCAAATATTTTCTCACATGTAAGTTTGAAGAATATCATCTTCCTCTAGTGATAAAACAGAAGCAACTCTGAAATGAGAGTTCACTTAATTGTAGATGGACATTACTCCCATATGAAATGAAAATCAGGCTCACAAGTGATGTATATTGTATTATGAATTTTTCCAAGGACTTGTGTTTCCAGGTAGCCCTAGATAGCTGTTCCTTGATCCTTTTCCTTTTATTCTCATTTTATATAGCCTATAAAACTCACTTCAAATAACGCACTATGCCCAAAGTATATAGTTAAGTGTTAATCAAAATTTAAGAATATGTTTAGGTAGAAGGCAATGTTAAATAACTCATTTAATCACTACACAAAGTATTATGTATGGTGCCAGTATACCCTATGAATTTTTTAAAGTATACAAATAAAAGTTTTGAAAATAAATACAACTTTTTTACAAGAAGCCATCTTACTCAATTCTGAGTGACCGTTGTAAGGCTGTGATTCCTTTTATGTTCTTTTCTTAGGATTTTATAACCCAGAATACAAAACTGAATACTGCTTATTACATGGGGTTGTCAGATCCACAAGGTCAGAGACATTGGCAATGGATTGATCAGACACCATACAACGAAAGTGTCACGTAAGTATAGAATTAGATCTTACTGATCCAAGAAAATAGGAGTCAGTAAATAATTGTAAAATCTGACAGACTTCAGCCTCCACAATCATTACACTAAGGAAAAGAAAAACTTACTGTGATACAAGGGACCAGAGAGAAATCTTTATATCCTATAAAGAATCTCCAATGACTGACAGTCCCCTGGAAAGAGGATTGAAGGATAAACAGAAGAGAGCCTCTGGGATATCTGCAGGTGGAGAGGATTTTATAACCCAGAATACAAAAACAGGATTCACACAGATGTGGGCACAGTTTCCAAGGAACAGGCTTGAGATGCCGGTGGAGGAGGAGCTGCATAGATCATGGGGAGGGTTGGCTTGGCTGTGTATCACTGTGACTTCCACAGAGGTCAACCCCAGTTCTTTCACGGTCTCTAACCCCTTTTATAGCACTATTGGACTCACGATTGGGCTTTTCTCTCTTTCAGATTCTGGCATCCTGGTGAGCCCAATGATAAGAAGGAACATTGTGTTATTTTAAATTATCGTTACTCAAATAGAAAATGGGGCTGGAATGATGTCTCTTGTGATAGGCCTCAAGGGTCAGTTTGTAAAATGGTGAACATCTATTTATGAGTCAAACATGCTCCCTGTGCCTGTACCTCAGGTACCATTCATCATTACACAGATAGATCAGAATATTTTCCTTATGTGTATGAGATGTCCATAGAATTTGAGGTAAGTGTTCAACTATTCCACTTATAAAAATTTAGTTACCTTGCGTATGTGTTTACATACTTATGTATTAAAAGCATTTATTGAGCATTTTGCATGTGCCATGAACTCCACTAGAGATCTTGTTTGTTTATACATGGAAGACATAGAACTTTTCTGAGCGATAAGATGTATTTACTGATAGAACTTTATGATTTGGTCCTTGCATTTATTTCTTCTATTTGCCCTTTACCTTTACTGATGTATAACTATGAACTCTGAAATATGTATCTTAAGCTACCAAATGCTTATTTGTTATACAAGATACTGTGAAATAATAAAAGTTATTTATTATTTACCACAGCTAACTATTCTGTTTTACTAAAAATATTTAGGATCTCCATAAGCAAGTTTCACTTTTAAATGCAACACTGTTAACCATTGTCACTGTGATAGTATGGAATTCCAAAATTTATTTTCTTAACCCAAATGTCTCTTGCCATTTTCCCACAGCTATTCCATTTTAACCTCAATTCTACTGTGTTTCTAGGAGGTTGACTCTTTAGATTCTTCAAATAAATACAATCATATGGTATTTGTCATTCTTTGACTTATTTCTGTAGGAATGATAACCTACAGATTCATTCCTTTTGTTGCAAATGAGAAGATAATATCCATTATGTGTGCACTTGTGCGTGTGCATTTCTTTTAGCCATTACAAATTTATGTCTTTCTTGTTGCTAATAATTCTGTGATGTTCCTGGAAGGCTAGATATCTCTAGAGAGGGATGTATATAATTTTACATATTTCTAGAAATGGTGTCATTAGATTTTTTTAGTTTTATTGTGTTCTCTTTTATTTATTTATTTTTATTTTATTTTGAAAAGCAAAGCAAAGCAAGAACAAAAATCAGAAACAAAGCAAGAAACAGGACAGCATACAACAATACATATGTTACAGATTTTCAAACCAAGAATAGCTGATTAACAATGATTGATATATTATCTATTTTATCATCAAATCTGTTGCTCAGACTAACAGATATAGTCATTTATGTAAGCTAGATAGTTTTGAGGAACGTCTGAACTCTTGTATGCTGGGTGTACTAAGTTACTCTCTCATCTGTAGACTTCACAGATGCCTTTTTATTCACATCTTTGCAAACATTTGTCTGCCCATCTTTTGAAAATATTCTAAGACATGTGAAGTGAGATTTCATTGTTTTCCATGGCTGAAAGTGATTTGTTCCTTCAAAGTTTCATGTTTCAAAGATCTAATTCTCAATTTGGTTTTGGAAACTTTAAGAAGGGGAACGTTTTAAGTGAGAGGTTGTTAGGTCATTTTTAGAGTTCATAATAATGCTGGCCTTACCTTTTAATCAGCATTTTATAGTTCTCAGTACACAGATGTTCATCTCTTTCATTTAATTTTTTCCCTAGGCATTTCATTTTGTTTCATCATTGGAAATGGGATTTTTTTCATTAATTTTAGTTTCACATTAGAATACAAAACTGTGACTTACTTTTTAAAATTTACTTTGTACCACAAAATTGTCCTGAGTTCATTTTTTAGATTTTGTAGTATTTGTGTGTTTGCATATAGTCTGTAAGATTTTCTCTAGATAACATCAACTTCAAATATACAGTTCTCTTTTTCCTTTCCAATTTAGAGGTCTTTAAATTGTTTTTCTTGTCTAATTTCTCTGTTTTAAACCCCTGAGCAGTATGTTGAATAAAAGTAGTAGGGTCGGTACCCTTATTTTGTTCTTTATCTTAGAGGAAAGATTACAAATTGAGTATGCTTTTAACTGTGAGCTGGCATTCTGTGGTGGTTCTTTTATGTACAGGCAAATTCTATCTACTCTTATTTAGTTGAGAGTTCCTTTTTATCACAGATACACGTTCAGTTTCACAAATGACATGAATTTATAATGAAGACTATTAGGAAAGTGGGGGTGGGGTGGGGAGATGTCTCAGTAGAATAAGTGCTTCCCTGGAAAGCACAAGGGCCTGAGTTCAATCCCTGGTTCTGAAAAAAAAAAAGAAAGAAAGAAAAAGAAAAAAGAAACAAACAAAAAGAAAGAAACAAATTTTTGGGGCTGGGGAGATAGCTCAGTAGAATAAGCACTTGCCTGGCAAGCACAAGATTCTGAGTTCAATCCCTGGTACCACAAAAATAAATAAATAAATAAATAAATAAATAAATAAATAATAACAAACCTATATCCTTTTCACTCCTGCCCACTGTCCCAGCTTTTGCAGCCACAACACATCAGTGTCATTTGGGTATTTTGGCAACTCAAGGGCCTTGGAATGGTCTTGAACCTGTGTTCAGCCAGAACCTTTTGGCCCTACTAGGTATAAGGGTAGAATCTCTCAGGTGCCCTTGGAGCCACTTCTGCTTTCATGATCTTAGGAGGCTCCCTCCCTATTTGATCAGAAAGCTGGGCTCAGGCATTTAGCCCTGGTGGATGTAGGGGACATTTCCACCTGGCTTTGGGACCATAAATCCTGGGGCACCCAAGTTCTATGGAGAGCCTCAGGAAAGCTAACCAGATTTCCACTCATTCTGCTTTCACTCCCACATCACATAAGACAATAGTATTCTTTTGGTCTCTCCTTGGCACTGGGGAGGGCAGACTGCAGATTTCATTAGGGTTCAGGTAGAAGGAACCAGGATCTAGGGGCATGCAGCTCCCTGAGGGGCTGCTCAGTTTCTAGTGAATAAACTTAGGTTGACAGCTCCAAAAAAAAAAGGAAGTGGGGTTCTGGGGAATGGGAAGGGTAGTATTAGGGATGTTGATGACGATAGAGAGGATGTTGTGAAAGTTAGTTCTATGCATAGTTGAAATTCTCATGAGGAAACTCACTGTTCTGTGTAACCAGGATGCATTGTACAAATAACAAATGCTGCATTTCTTTTGTTTCAGTTTATTTAATTTATGTCTTCCTGGTAATATATTCCACTCATTGATTCCTATGTGTTACTTACTTTTCCATCCCAGTGATGAATGTCATCTGGTCATGGTGTGTTATCTTTCAGTTTGCTATTGAAGCAAGTTTGCTGATATTTTGTTGAGTATTTTTGCAACTATTTTCATCAGTGATAGCGACATTAAATTTTCATTTGTCTTTATATTGCATAATATTGATCCTTTTTTCAAAGATGTGTTTCGATTTGTTAGTGAAGCCTTTTGTGTTTTAGATTTTCTTTTCTGGTGGTTGCTTGCTTACTAATTTGATGTTCCAATACATAATTAATTTGTTCAGTTTTTTCATTTCTTCATTATTCTGTTCTTAATAAATTTTTGTTTCTATACGCCAGTAACATTCTTTTAGATTGTTAGTGCAAAATTGTAACCATAGTTTCAATTATTTTGAATTTTATGGTATCTGTTATTATGGATACTTTTCACTTAGAATTTTATTTATAGAGTTCTGTCTTTTTCCTTTATTAATCTAGTTACAAGTTTATTAATTTTGTTCATCTATTGAAAAATCCAACACTTCACTTTATTTATATTTTTCCAGTCCTTTATTTCTATCCCATTTTCATTCTTTGCACTACTTTGGGATAATTTTGCTCTTCTTTGAGTTGTGACAGATTCTCATTTATTTCTACTGTAATCTTTATGTGTCCCTTACACTAGTTTTGGAATTATTTTTCTTTATCTATGTAGGGTGTTTATTCTGGGTCTTTTTCCTTTATATATACATTTCTTGATGTAAATATTCATTTTGAATTGCTTTTGCTGTATCCAATAAGTTTTATTTTCTTGTGCTTCTATTTTTGTCTCATGATAATTTTTAATTTTTCTTTTGATTTCTTCTTTGACTCAGTTTTTTGTATGAATTTGTTTAATTTCCACCTATTTCTGAATTTTGCAGTTTTTTCCTGTTAATTGAGTTCTACTTCTGTACCTCTGTGACCAGAAAAGGTGCTCGATTTGATGTTTTTCTTCTTGGATGCATTTTCTCTGGTAACATATTCTCTCTCTGGTCAATCTGCTGCAAATAAATGGAAGGGGAGAAAGAGACTTTGTGGGATGTCCAGTATTAGGGAAAATACTTTTGCCCACTGAAATTGCAATGATTAATCTCTATGATTTTTCTAAAGGTGGAAATACGCTGACATCTGACTATCTTTCAGGGTCCATTTGATGTTAATGTGTTTAGATGACCTGGTACTGGCACATGAGTTAATTGTTCATTCTTTACCTACATGGAAGTCATAAACTATACACACTGTGTTGGAGAGGAACTCAACAGCTCAGGGACAGATAAATGATGAGACACTGTTCAAGTATATTAAACCAATTGTTCTATGTGAGTGTGTGATGAAATACTATGAATTTCACAATAAGAAACCAGTACTGTGGACTGGGATGCACATTGCGTGCTCATCTCTTCTTCCTCATAAAGAAAGCTTCAAAGTCATTTAAAGTCATTTTCCTTCATCAGGCCAGATTTACTTGGGATGCTGATCTTGCATGCAGCTCTGTGGGCAGATACTGACTAGTCCAAGGCAGTCAGCACAGTCACACTCTTGGATAGTCTAGAGATAGCAGGAACTGCGAGTCCTGCCATAAATCACTTCATGCTCAAAGGAAACAGCATGAATCTCCTTGTGTAGATGCACATAGACCAAGGAATATGTAATATGGCTTGCTAATGATAGTTATTTTGTATCATGTAGAAAATGGCCTTAGAATACCAGTATTTTGGTGGAACTGGGGATTGAACTCAGGCCCTTGCGCTTGCCAGGGAAGTGCTTATTCTACTGAGCCATCTCTCTGACAGAATACCAGTATTATGATGGGTGGCAGAGGTGGAAAGGACCTACCACACTACATGTTTTGCTGAGTCACTGAGCCAACGGAGTAAAGCCCCAGCCTGCTCTGAATTTTCATAGTGAAAAGGAATCCATTTTCTAAGAAGTTTCTACTAGAATGCTATTTGATTGCTCTCTATGATTGTATGAATTTGACAAACTATTGTCATTAGTGACTAGATTTTATTAAGTTAGTTTATAAACAGAACAATTCATATGTTTTCAGAGTACACTTCAGTGATTTTTTGACAAATGTATGTACCTCTGTAAGTACCATGCCAGTCTATTAAATATTTTCATTGAAGTATATTTTTCCATGTTCCTCCACACTATGAGAGAAGGATGTGATTTTTATGAGCAGAGTGTTTTGTCAGTTCTAAAATTCCATAAAGCTGGGTGAATGAAGAATGCTGTTTTGTTTCCTAAATATGTTTGGGAGATTGAAGGAAGCTTTGTGTATTTTGTCAGAACATTCAATTTTGTTGTGTAAATGAATTTGTTTATCCATTTTCTTGTTGGCAAGCTTTGTTCTTTCTGTGCTGTAACCATGTATAATTATAAATAAAGCTGCTATTATAGGCATGTGTTATGGTTTATGTCTAGTGGTCTCCCCAAAACCTCATGCAACCATTGGGGCAGATTGTAGAGTTTGTGACTAATTCATGACCCAGTGCAGGAATTATGGGTGTGAATGCTGCACCTGCCCAGAGGCTGAGAGCCAGAATACTATATAAGGAAGGGAGAGAGGCTGCTGTCACTACT